AAGTTATGCATGAACAATATCAACTGATTCTAACATTACGAGAAGTAGCTGTTTGAGATACTGTGGAGGAACTCGGAGATCTTTCATTCTTGGAGATTTAAGACCATGGATATGGTCCTGGACAATTAGCTCTAGGTGGCCCTTCTTGAGCAGGAGATTTGGACCAGATGACCTCCAGAGGACCCTTGCAACCTCAACCATTCTGTGGTTCTATGATTCTTTATTGGTTTTCAACCATTCTGTGATTCTATGATTCTTTATTGGTTTCGGGCCAAATTTCCTACTAGATTGCAGATGGCTTTCTTATTTACTAATTATTTATTGATTGATTACTGCCCTTCAAATTAAGAAACAAAAGAGTACTTTTTTTTCCTATTGGTTATAGCTAGATACCGTTATTTCTGGGATTCCCTCCAATTAACTGACTTGGATGAGTTTCCACATAGCTTTGGTTAATGTTAACTTACTATCATTATTTGACCTTAGAATATCTATTGAATTCAAAGTGTGATAAATTTCTTTCTTCCCCACTGATTTGAGTATGTACCTGGTCTTAATGAGGGTTCAATCATTACTACCAAAACATTGGTTATCTCTGTTGAAAGGCTACGTGTATTTATGAAAAAGTACCTGTCTCACAGTAGAACACCTTAAGTGTCATCAAATGCTGTTACCACGTGTAAATTGAAACATCCTATACACACACAATTTCAATATGCACTCTAATCCTTAACTGTTCATATAAATATGTAAAGTTGTTCACAAAGCGGGCAGACTTCATATCTCCTTTGCAACAAGCTCTGGTCGATTTAGTCCTCATTTTTCCCACTCAAAACACTCATAATTCACTGTTTTCCATCTCTTGTTATCTATATTTCTATCCTTAGAAGGTGGGTGGTGAAGACAGATATATTCACAAGCAAGATCCTTAGCTATATTCACAAGCAAGATCTTTAGCTATATAGGAGATTTTAACTCTCTTTAAAAGGCAAGCAGGCCAGAAGGGGAAATACAAGAGCATACATTTGGAACAGTATGGAACTTTCCCTACGTATGATCAGCTGAGGGAGAAGGATGACAGCGATAAAGATGAGAGACCTTGCAATCGAAGCAAACAAAACATACACAAGGGAAATGCAGTATATTCCTGTATGTTGCTTCGTAAATCAAAGTCTCCCCTAAATAGTTGACTCGATATTTCAAAATCCACTTCAATGACACACAGCTGATTGGAGACTTAAACAACACCCAGGTTTTCCACATGAGTAGGCCTCTGGAAAATGGTACACTTAAACCACTATACTCCAAAGTACTTAGACCATCATTATGGCAACACTCTTCTCCAGGTTCTCAAAACTCATGAGACACTTTTAACATTGAGTGTGAAGTCACTTTCGGTTTCTCAGATCTACTGCAGCACAGAATTACCCCCACCTTGTCCTGTTGGGGCTCAGGATGGAGGCTCCAAATAGAAGGAACTTCACTTTTAATCACTAGGAGGACTGAACGTAGGAGAGACCAGACATCCAAGTGCCTGAGTCTCACCTACCAAAGCTTTCAGGTGGTTCTAATGTTGTGTGAAGTGAAGGTTTCTCTCAAAGAAGGCATCTAGGCTGCATAGTGAATGAAGCAATAGAAACTAGAGTGTAATTCAGAGCCCATGTCAACTGTATAGCAAGCAATGAAGTCCTGGAAACTCACTACAAGATCCAAAGCTTATCGTTAAAAATGGAAATAAATTCCAGGACTTGATGGAAGATTCATTTAACTTCAAACACCTGGTTGTATGTGATGCTCTTCCCTGTTAAAATACTGAAGAATGAAACAAGAGGGTGCTGTAAAAAACCATCGATAGTGCACTGTGATCATTTGCATACTTGTTGAGCAAGGCACCTGTCCCCTATCACTTCGAAACAAGATTAGTATCCAATGGAGCATTATTAGAGTCCTAGGCTTTATGGATATGCCTGTAGAATCAAAAGCACTGACTATCCTGCCCAAAACAAGCATTAAGACTGGAGAGGGCAGCTACAGGACCTTGTCACAGCGTTTGCAAAATTCACATGGGACACTTGTTTGGGTACAGCACAGAACGAGTTTCACGTGTTTTACACTTTTAAAGTTCTAGATGTGTCTATTCGCTGAAACCTTGTAAGATATTTTCTATATGCCATCTGTATTCTCCTTTTGGGAGAACAATAAAGACATATTTATTTTCAAAATTATACCTTTTCTTATTTTTCCAAATTTTTCACTTTGAATTTTTATATCATCCTAACACATAAGAAATCACAGCACAGAACAGATCTATTTCCTGAAGTGATCTGAAGATGAGGAGTACAAAAACTGGAAACAAGGACATAGAGCTCAGAATTAATCTGATGCAAGTGTTTAAATGATACAACCAAAAAGGCTAAAGTGCAAAATGAGTAACAACTATCAAAGAACAAAAAAAGCCACAAGAAAAGATACTATAAATACACTAGGAAAGGAGGACAAAGTAAAATACAGAACTATGACATCGAAGAGAAGGAAAGCAAATAACAGATCATAGAAAGAAATCCCAGTGTTCCACACTCTCACTGCTTCAGTCTTCACAAAAAAAAATAATTGTGGCCAGATGCTCTAATGCTAGTGATTTTAAGAGGAAAAACTGCAAGCCAGATGACGGAAAGTTGAAAGATATTCTGATGACTTAGATATATTCAAGTTGGCAGAATCTTGTGCAATTCACTCTATAGCACTTAACTAACTGGCTGAAGAACCCTCTAATCCATTAGCAACTGTCTTTCAGGAATGGAGAGGACAGAAAAGGGCAAATACCGTATCTTCCTTTGGAAATGAAAAAGGGAAGACATGGGGAACTGCTAACCTGCAAGACTAAATGTAACAGCAGCAAGAATATTTGACAAAATTGTTAAATAAACAATTTTATCAACATCTAATGGATAGGAAAGGTGATAAGAACTAGCCAACATAAATTTATCAAGAATGAATCACATCAAATCAGTCTAACTGATGTCTCAACTGGGAAACCTGACTTGTGGACACGAGGAGGAAGTAGATGTAAAATACTTCAGCTATAAGATGCCTTTGTTTACTGTCCTAGATGATACTCCAGTAAACAAATTAGAGAATTACATTCTAGGTGAAATCACTGCTAGGCAGATAAACATCTGGTGGGAAAAAACGCACTTACTGAGTAGCTTTCAAAGGCTGGTTGTCAGATCTGAAATGGAATCATGAAGAGGTCTGACAATATTTCCGTTAATGATCTGGATGAAGAAATAAAGAGCACATTCATAAAAGTGAACTTCATATCAGGTTGCAAGTGATTTAAAGCAAGTCTTGGGGATAGAATTAAAAATCCATATTAGCTTGATAAATCATCTCAAAACATCAAGTACTAGCAAGAAATAGTGAAGAATGTTTCATTTGTGAAATAGCTATATGAAAACCTGACTCCAACAACGCTGGCCAGGTACATTCACCTCCAGTCCAAGTGTAGGACCCAGAAGAACTGCAGTGTTTTGCACTCCAGTTAGAAAACTCTGTGGCAAAGAGAGGTATAGAACACTACAAACTGTATTTTAGGTATAAGAAAGCCAGAGCTCAGTGGAACCTACACAATATTCACGATGAAAGACAATGATGTCGGACTGAAGAGTGGATTTACTCCTTTATTATTGAACTCTCATATCTGATTGGTTCATATGTCCAGACAGTGAATAAATATATAACCCTTTCTGAAGTTGAAAAAAAATATTAATGTTTCTCTATCTGTGTTAAGGTTGGTTACAACCTCTAAAGGATAAAGGCCTGAAAATGACACTCACGCTCATCACATTAAGGTGGTCAGGCAATGGTGGGGCTGCAAATCAGAGACCCTGACTGGAGGTGATTTAGCTCCTTCGAGACAAACAGACTGAAAAGAGGCCTGTATCTATACTACAATCATTAATATAAATATGCAAATTGCTCAGAATATAATTGTTGTGAACAGCCTAAAACATTTGGGAGAGAGGCAATTTGCACAAACTAATTTGGGGTATTTGACACAATGTGGAAAAATGCTGAATCTCAAAATTATCCACAAAACAGATATTCCATTCTTCATTCAGCTCTGTTTCTGACCTCACCATCTGCAATTTCTCCACTGAAAGAAGAAGTGCCATGGATAAAATTTAATGAGAGGAGAAAGAAAATATTACTCATTTAAATGTCTCCCAGATCACACCATACATAGTTTTCATGCACCATGGCAGACAGCACTTCTCATACTTTGATAATTGTCAGCAGTTTGCTCCCACCAGTGTACTTCAGAATTCCCTTCTATAGGAAAGAAAAAGAAAAAAAAAGATATTCCTTATCATATCCAGTAATTCTCAGAACCACTACTTACATAAGCATGCTGTTTTTAAACGCTGTTCCTGTTTGACTCTATCTTTTAAAGGATAATACTTGGGATTTGCTATGAAGGAATAGGCAACCATGTTTTTGAGTATTTATTTGATATGCTTTAAAATATTTATTAGAATTGCTTTGGAAAACTGGAAGGAATTAACTGGGGTCAAGGATACAAAATATCTATTGCTTTTCGGTGACAGGTCTGATCTCCATCATGAGGTTAAGGTTTCACAGAGGTTAATCCAATCTTACCTCTGCCACCCAAAGGAGCAGTCTCACTGCTGCATGTTCCTAACATTTTCCTTAAACCAGCCCCTGGTGTTGATCTCTTGATGAGCTAATTTAGCTCCCTAAACTGGCAGAAAACTAATATAACAAAGAAGGAGGTGCAGTGAAAGCAGTTTCAGTCTCCTCTTCAGAGGAGAGCTGGTAAATTATCTCAGACATCCTGTAAACCTCATCAACAGGGATGTAACTGCTGATGTCAGTGAACTTAGTCTTCATTGAATAGAAGACCACCTTCTTGATATATACTTTGAAATTACAATTCAGGCTGCATGGTCACATTAAAAAACTAAAATCAATCAACTTACTGCGAGACAGATTCTCAAGGGCTTTTCCAAGTTTTTTGCTCTCTTGAAGAATATGATTTAGTTCATCAAAATCATGGTTCTCCGGTTTTGTCCTCCAATCCCATTTAGGATGCTCTATTGACCTTGGCACTAAATATACACAGATATATAGATGAAGTTTAGAGTTGGTAGTTCAGACTCATATAGCAGAAAAAAAGCTGCACAATGAGTTTACAAGCTCAAGTACCTTGAGTGGAAATTGCTTAACTATCCTCCTATTTTAACAGCTGGAAATATTTTCTTTGGTCAATGTGAAGTAAAAATGAAAACATCTATGAACAAATGCAGAGTTGGGATGATTCTTGTGACAGAGTTAATTGGTAGACAGGAATTATTAATATTAACAATTAGAAATAATAAAAATAATGCAATAACAGAAAAAGGTAATAAAAATATCGCGTGTGAAGGTACTTCATTTACATCAAAACAGAATTGTGTGTCCTAAGGGCCAGGAAAAATGGAAAAAATGGAAATAAGTACTTTAGTCTTTGCTAGTCATTTTATCAAAAAGGAAAAAGAAATATTTTAGATAAAGCTTTTATAACAACATGTATATACATTTTTAAAAAAAAATATCATACAGCGTACATAACAGTTCATAAAAACAGTGAAACAAAATATGTCCCTATTGTTTATGTTGTACCTTTATTCCAATACTTTAAGAAACTCAATCTTTGGGAAGCACAGTCCTAAGTGTACAGTCCCCTACTCGTTATCTATTACCAAACCCTTTGATTTAATTTTAAGGTAACAGTTTCTCCGTGGCTAAGCTAACTTCACCTACAATGTCAGGGAAGAAGAGAAGGAGTTTCTGAGACGTAGGACCCACAATGAACAGAGCTGCATTGATCAATGTGAACATTGTGAACAATTTGTAGAAATGGAAACAAAAATGATGCTGCCTCTAGAACTGGAATTCTGAACTAAGCAATCTGTTGCCTTCACCACCAAATGCAATTGTTGGGTTCACTCCAAACACAGCATTATCGTGCTGAGAACTGGTGTGAAGATGATGATGTCTTCCCAACAGAAAGGTCCAGTTGCATTTATCAATGGTTGCTAACTACTTGCACCTAAAAATAAATTCAAAACCAAAGCCTACAATGTCCTATATATCCTGGCCAGCTTTGAAATATTTATTTACTATTTTGACAGTTGTCAACTAATTTATGCTTACAAACTTCATTTCCATGACATGCTAAGAAGGAAAGTTGTAGACTCCTACAGATCACGCAAAAAAAAGTGGTACCTTATGATCATTTGGAATTTCAGAGTTCTTTTACAAAGGAAATTTTTTACATGAGGAAATTACGGTCTGACTTTGAGTTCTGGTAGCTATTAGAAAACGTGTCAAATAACTGTTACTATTTAAATTGGCCTTATTGCTGACTGCCCACTGTGTGAATATAGGAACTGCTCCACTTCGGATCAACTCTACGTGGGAAAGTTGAAGTTAAGTCAACAGTCATCTTTTCTATGTAAAGAGGTGGGAAAATGGTATGTTTAAGTCCCTCTGTCACATAGAATGTGATTCCATCTCCCGTAGACATAAACCAAGCCATCTTCAAACTTGACACCTATACAGAGTCTGACAAGCCAGAGTGTAGTCTGATCTTTAACACCCACTCAGGAACCTGGGTAAGCAGTAGGGAAGTGAATAAATTAGACTGCAATTACAGCCATTGTCAAAGACAGAAGACAAAAGAGACATTTAAAGGACCTACAGAGATAAAAGTAGGAGGAAAGAGACACAGGAAGCCTCAATAAGGAGAAGGGAAGAGAGGGGCAAGTTGGAGTGTCAGAGTCCAGTTCTGTTTTGTGTTCAAAAAAGACATGTATTTCCTTCTGGGGACAATGGAAATAAATCACTATGGTGATTCCTAGTGAACAGACACAGGCCTTAAGGTATTAGAGTATGAATAGACTCTACTCAGAGGGACATCTTGTAACTTTTGTTGATACTTTTAAATGCCAATCATTAAATTTATAATTCCTGGTTTAGGAACCAGGAATTATAGGAACGTTCATTAAAAGTTATCTAAACTTTTGTGTGATGAAAAATTTCCTCCATTCATAGACCTTAGTATAATTAATGTTTATTTAAGAGCACAACTTTGGTATTTATTTTTTTTTCTTATTTACAGATCAAAAACTATTCCACCTAGTATTTCTTTCTAAACTTTTACTAACTGCAAAGATAAATATTTAGCAAACTAGAGAAGAAATTCCATAATAAGGTCTATTTTCACTCACCTTTGCTTTACATTGAGGTCCCATTCTCCTTTACTGCCTGCTTTTTCAGCCATCTCCTCCCTTCAGTGTACCAACACTATGTTCTACAGCATCACTCACTCTAGCCTACTAGCAGTTTGACAGAGTTTTCTTTCCACATTTATAAAGAACTCACCACACCACAGAAAACTTGTGGTATTACCAAAATACAGACAATCATTTTATATCATAAAAGCATGTACAGAGATGAACCAAGCGTAGAGCTTCCGGGTTGCAGAAAATTTCGACAGACTGGAATTTGATACCAGGTCTATTTGAAACAAACCAAATTTTTCAAAACGCCAAAGAACAGAATTTTTGTGAAAACATATGATTTTATGATGGGTCAGAAGCTAGCTGAAACCAAAATAAGTTCTACTCAACAGCTGTGGAGCTTCCAGGACCATCAACTGCCAAGTATGTGGACCAATCCACATCAGGAAAATGAGAGTATCAAGACTATCCTTGGAAAATAGGACACCTTGCTCCTGAGAAAATGATCTGGTCCCTCCTTTCAGAGAAATGTCCCACAAACACAGGAAGCCTGGACTGGGTCTCACTAGATGGATGGTGGGAAACCAGTCAAAAACATGACGGAAATTTGCTCTCCATGCTGGTGTACAAGAGCCTGTGTTTCAGTGAACCGTTCTGTACTTCAGTGAAAATGTATCAAACCAGAAATGCTGCCATGGAATATTTCTGATTTTCAATACAATTTGTTTCAACAATGAGTTTGGCTCACTTTACTGAACCAAAACTGAAAGGTAAGTTAAGCAAAATTAGAACTGACTGAATTTTTTTTTACTTCTAGAGAAGACATAGTTCTTCTTACTTACTTCATTACATCATGTGACACCTGTCTCTCCTTTCAAGGTTCATCTTCTGCTTGCTTACAAATGTTCTGAAACTATAAATTTGTATCTTCTCAACTATAGGATCAACAAGCACTGGCCATTTGCAAATGGATGGTTTTGTATGAAGCATGCAGACCACATGAGCCTCCCTTGAGATCTTTCAAATACATGATCTTCTGCTGTATGTAGGAAGCCCATCATGTATCATTTCTATGATTCTATTTCCATGCATATGTCACTACAGATGGAGTAAAATCCTTTCATAATATTCTGACCTTCCTCTTTATTATGCTCACTCATATTCCCCAAAATCATCATATCAGTAATTTTAAATCCAAAATACATGATCTTCTGCTGTATGTATGAAGCCCATCATGTATCATTTCTATGATTCTATTTCCATGCATATGTCACTACAGATGGAGTAAAATCCTTTCATAATATTCTGACCTTCCTCTTTATTATGCTCACTCATATTCCCCAAAATCATCATATCAGTAATTTTAAATCCCTCATCATATTACCTGCCTCAACCTCATCTCTGTTATTTGAGAGATTTATATAACACTTTCTCATGAAATCATTTGCCTACAATTCAGAAAATTTATTACTTCTACATCATAGCACCTGTACAGAAATATTTAGTTTTTTCTTTTTATGGAGCTGAGATTTCCCCATCTCATCTTAGAATACTGCAAAGCCAGCCTTTCCAATATTTCTGGAGATCATCTAGTCCAACTCCCCTGCTGAAAATGCCAGGCTTTCCAGTATTTCTAATTTTTGGGTGGCACACTCCCCTAACAATTGCACATCAGATTCATTCACCGGTGTGTTATAAATCCTGTCTGAAATCAGCAGACCTTTATTTTCTACTGGACGATGGTACAAGATCAGTACTGGTTTTACCTACATATACCTGTCTTTTCAAGACATGATTTGCAGACAGAAATTTTTGGGTGGCACACTCCCCTAACAATTGCACATCAGATTCATTCACCGGTGTGTTATAAATCCTGTCTGAAATCAGCAGACCTTTATTTTCTACTGGACAATGGTACAAGATCAGTACTAGTTTTACCTACATATATGTGTCTTTTCAAGACACGATTTGCAGACATAATCAGACCAGCTGCTCACTAAATCCTACATTTCATCAACACATTGTATGACCATCTTACATCTCAGAGAACACAAATACATGTGTTATTATTGAGCATAATATTATTCATGTATTTAAATCTTGCAGGAGCATTCAGATTAGAATTCTTTGATAATACAGCCAAACCAGTTTACACAGTACTTGGGTATTATAAGGCTAAGAGAACGATGGCTTACAATCCTAGACTGACCAAGAGCAATTAGAAGTACATAATACTGTAAATTGTAAATGGGATATGGTGAGAATGATGAACTGAAGCAAAATGAAAAGATGATGTGTGACCTGATTTAATGTGGCGGGGGTGAAGAGATCAATCTACTTTGTCTAAAAGCAGATAGCTGGGAAGCAAGAAGTCTGTCTGTTCTTCAAACACAGAGCACGATCATCTATACACTTCATTAAATATATTTTTATATACCCACGCACGCACGCACCAGGAGCCCTAGCTTCAAGCCTCTTCCTTGACAGACAACAGCAGCAGCTTCTGCTTAATTATGTTCTTTCACACATCAAACAAGAGGTCGGATCCCTTAGATACCAGGGTCTCTTGTTTCTGGGTTTCTTGCAGTTGCAGCCAAGAGGAGGTACTGGAGGAATCTTTCCAGTAAAAAAGTTGAATGCATAAAAAAAAAAAGAGGTATCTGTGCAGGAATAACATGCACACTGCAGTCAACATCAGATCTGCTGCAGGAAAAAACTATTTCCCAATTAAATAATTCTCCTGATGTTTCCAAAGATTCCTATGAAATGATAATTATCAGTTCTGAATAAACTTACAAGTTCAGGATCGCTTGAACAAGACCGTT